ACGTTCCAGCTTAAGTTTTAAAGCTCGAATCTCTTTCCGAACGCTGCCAAAAGTGTCCTTTTTCCACCTTGACAAGTCTGTTGCTAGTGCAGTCAATTTGCACCGAATCTCCTGTATGGTGTGACCCGAGTGCTTTGAGCTCCATTTTTCTAAAATTGTCTCCTGCCGTTGCTCATGAGTTTCCCACATGGTCTCATACCTGAAGTCCTTTCGTCCTGGTGGTGCGCTAGGCTCGTAGATTTCCAGGAAGATTGGGCAGTGGTCCGAAGTAGCCGCTGTCAGGTGAGACAAGCTGGCCAAGGGAAACTGAGCGCTCCATTCGGCCGATCCAAGCTCTCTATCAAGTCTGACACGAGTGAAAGAGCCTCCCACAACCTTCTTCTCAAAAGTCCAAAACGGCCTTTGTACCCCAAGTCCATCAGCATACATACGTCAATAGCGTCTCGAAAACCCTGGATCTGTGCATTACCATGCCGCCCCACCCCATCATGTTCATCCGGACGCAAAACTTCGTTGAAGTCTCCTATGCAAAGCCACGACAGTGTACTTGTGCTACTTATATTTTTGAGCACTGTCCAGGTTTGGTGTCTCAGCTGGGTTTGTGCCTCCCCATACACACATGTCAGCCGCCACGAATCTTTTTCGGGGTCGAGAATTGAGCAATTAATATGGTAAACAGAGTAACCAAGAATTTCCACTTTTGTTGGGTTGTTCCAGAAAATACTAATGCCTCCACTCCTCCCTTGACTATCTATCGCAAAACTATTGTCATATCCCAAAGTTCCAGCAAGTGCTTCTACCCTACCTGTTTCAATCTGAGTTTCTATAATACAGAGAATAGGGGGGGGGGGAGGAAACTTCTTCGTTAACTCGTGAAGCTCGTTAACTGTCGCGGCATTGCCCACACCACGATAGTTCCAGCATAGGGTATTATGTGCGCCCGGCGACCCTCCAAGTCGGAGGACGCCTATGTGTTCTCTTGAAACTTGACCGCTAATGAGAGCTTTGGAGCACTCTCGGAAGCTGCGATAGTCTTGGCCCTCTTGGATTCCTGCTTGGAGCTTGGACTGATCGCCACGGGTGGTGCTAAGAGCATGAGAACCATCTCTCCCGCCTTCAACGAAGCTGCAGGCGCCACCTGCGCCTGGGGGTTTGATGATTGGTTCTTCTCGACCATATCACCCTTGGTGCGCTTGCGGTTCTCCTCGGCTTCGGTCATTGCGGTGTCGTAAGTCATGCCCTCCTCAGAGTAAACATCTGGTGTTGTGCTCCGTCTGCCTGTTTGGCTGGTGCGCCCCGCGCCTCTTCCACGGCCTCCACGGCCACCCCTTCCTACTGAACGGTTCTGCCTCGGGCCTAGACCACCCCCCCGAAACCAATCTGCTCGGAGTTCCTTAAAGACTAGGGCCGATTTTAGGTTTATGCCGTCCCCATGTTCCTTGAACTGGTGCCCCATGTGGCCACAAATGGCACACCAATCAGGAAGCCTCTGCCGCTCTTCCTTATGAACCAGGCTCACTGCATTCTTCAGGGGTTTGAACACATTAATCTTAATTCTCACCCTGTAGAAATTCTCCTTAAAGTCCCGCGACTTGGGTTCAGCGTAAACGACCTCTCCTACCTTCTTTTGCAAGAGCTTTTATGAGGGGATAGAAACGTAGCCCCTCGTTGTCACTCGATGCGGCCTCGCCGTCTCCACCTCAGGGCTTCATGCACTACCGTAAATTAAAATTGGAGCCAAATAGCTTGTGTCTGATCGCCAGGGAGCTGCTTTTAGCTCCCAACGGTCATTTCTGGTTCGCCCAGTTAACTTTTTTTCTTTCAAAATTGCCACGTTAAAACTTTAAAATAAAAAGAAAGTCGAGTGATTTAAATTTTTTTCCCATGCTAAACTTTATAACTTCCATTCTCTAGATAAAAATTGCCATGAACAAAAAAGTATGTAAAAGTGCCATGCTAATTTTTTTTAAAATTGTCATACTACTCTATAAAATTAGCATCCTATAGATAATTTTTTTTATCTATATAAGCCCCCAAAAATACTGCCATGCAATAAGAAATAAAAAATAACATAATCTTTATAATAAAAATGTCATGTCAACAATAATAAAAGTGACATGCTCTCAATAATAAAACGGTCACCATTAATAATAAAACTACCATCCTCCTAGTAATAAAAAATGTCATGCTCTTAATAATAAAAATGGCATGCTCTTGTCATAAAAAAGACATCCTATTGACAAATAAACAATATCATGTTACTAAATAAAAATGTTGTTGCTCTTAATGATAAGAACACCCATCCTCTTAGGCTCGTTGTAATGGTGAGTATCATATACTAGTATCATATATATGATACTAGTGTATGATACTACCTCCCTAATGCATAGTATCATATATTAATATCATGTAGTACTCTATTTATTGTCATGCATGACACAAAGTAGCATAACATTTATTATGATACAGTATCATAATATGATACTCCACCTTCTTTTTTTTCATTTAGTGCTATGACACCTCATCAAAATTACCTAGTTGGCATGCATGATACTAGGCATGATACTACCATTACGACCAGTCTTATTAATAAAAATAACATGTTAATACTCCCTCCGTCCTATATTAATTGTCACTCAAACCGATGTATCAAGCACTAAAATACAGCTAAATACATACGTTTTAGCGACAATTATATGGGACAGAGGGAGTAATTCATAAAATGTCATGGTCTTAATAAGAAAATCTCATGGGTGCATTAAAAAGACATAAAAATTTCTATGTTATATATAATAAAAAATGCACATGACAAGTTTAGAAAGAACAAATCCCCTAAAAATAGGGTTTTTTCTTTAGTAAATGGAAAAGAAATTGGATTTTTTTTCAAATGAAAAACCTAATTTAAAAATAATAATTTAGATACATAAAAGTTGTTTGAGTGATCAAAGTGTGTTCACAAACACATCTCTAGCCAACTAGTGAGTGAGCATGGCTACCTCGCTTTTTTTTGAAGAAAAAAAGGGCGTTCGCATGGAGATCAATTACTGCGAACTCTTTCAGAGACCTGACGTGGTGTCGGATTTGCCCCAAGATCCATGCGATCATATTCGCCGTATTTGTCCGATCATGCACTTTTTCGATCAAATGTATTGTTAGGCGGCTCCAGGCACTTTGATAAGAATCTAAAGAGGTCGGTGGACATGCTAACCAATGATGGTCCATAATAGGTTTGTCATTGTAGAGAGAGAGTTATGTCGATGGAGATAAATAACTAAATGAGTCGGTTAATTTGCATGACTTATGGTTAGGAAGTGTATCTCGTGAACTAATTCTCTTATTCTGCAGAAAAATAAATCTGTTTGCCTTCCTTTTTTGCGAGGAACTAATCGCTTTTGCACTTGTGATAAAAGATCCTCGTGTCCAATTAGCGTTGGTATGAATGTTTTTTTTTTCAAATTTTAGTAGGAGTGCTCGATATCGTAGACTAGTGATATTTATTTTGAGAAAAGACTAGTGACAGATGCAAGACTCATATTCCCTCTTGGATGTCTTTGCATGTTTTTTAGGAGCAACTAGCTGGTGAGGGCTCCTTCGGAAGCCTCTCAACGATTACTTGGGGTGGGCTTTGGCGCGCTTTCAGCCGCCGCCACATGTCGCGCTCTGGACGCTCCCTCCAGATTTTATTTTCTCTATTTATTTTTTGCACGCGTTTTTGGCTTTTTAAACGGTTTTTTCCTAGGCTTTTTGAATTTTTGTTTTTTCATTGGTCTTACATATCTTTTGGACCCAAAACAATTCGTGAGAAAACATGTTTTTTCTTTCGTGGGAGGTAGGATTTTGCTTTCGCGAGAGGCACGGCCGTGCCTCTCAAAAACAGAAAAAAAAATGTGTTTTCTATTTTTTTCCTTCCACGAGAGGCACGGTTTTGCTTCCGTGAGAGGTACAGTAGTGCTTTCACAAGCCGTGCCTCTCGAAAACAAAAAAAATATGGATTTTATTTTTTTCCTTCTGTGAGAGGTATGGTCGTGCCTTTCGGAAACAGAAAAAAAAGCATTTTCTGTTTCTTTTTCCTTCCGCGAGAGGCACGATTTTGCTTTCGCGAGAGGCACAGCCGTACCTCTCAAAAACGAAGAAAATAACACATTTTCTGTTTTTTTTCCACGTGAGGCACTGTTTTGCTTTCGCGAGAGGCACGGACGTGCCTCTTTCAGAAGGGAAAAATGCTTCGGTTTGATTTTTTTCATCCAGTTTTTTGTCCAATTTTTTCATGAAATGTTTTTTTGTTAAAATCTATCAACATGGAATCTAGTTTTGAAGATCTCAACGCAAGAATTTCAATGATGAAAGCAATTCGTAATTTGGACGCACGGTTTAAGAGATAAAACGTTTGAATAAACGAATGTGCGAGAAAAGAAAAACTCCCAGGTTGCGACAAATGGCGTGGAGGTGGGAGTGATCTTGGAAAGGGGTACTCCCTAATTAGTGATGGCGCGTCACTGAGGAGGTGAGAGTGATCTTTGAAAGGACTACTTCTTAATTAGTTACTAGTAATTGGAGCACCACCCTATGGCGCCGCTTAAGAGGAAGCTGTTGCATGTTTCATTTTTTTTTTAAAAATACATAGAGTCCTCGCCTCTATCTAAAAAACATCCAAAAAATAATCCTCACTTTCATTTAAAAAGAAGTGAAAAATACCACCGCAGCCTACCAGCGAGTGGTACTTTGCATAACCCTCCATTTAAAAAATAACAAAGGTCCTCACCTTCATCTAAAAAGAAAAAATACATTTAAAAAATAATCCACACCTTCATCCAAAAAATTCTAAAAGATTTCTCTACACGGCCAACCAGCTTGCGCCACATGGCATAGCTGGTTGGTCGTTCTTTACGCGTAGCTTAATGGGTTTAATTTTGATGTTTTCCTGGTGGCTTGGGCTTTTACACATTCTAAACTCCGGCCCATGGCCCATGTAATTGCGGCGAGAAGGCCTGGTCGTCCATATGCACGTCCGGGCTGTGGCCGGCGTTCCCGCATCGGCGACCACTTCGCTAGTTTACTGCAGCGTGGGGAGTGGATCTCCGGCGAGCACGAGACGAGCTCCGATGGCGAGCGGAGGCGGATACGCCTGGGCCCTCGCGGCGGGCCTCAACGCCGCGCTCGCCGCCATCTCCGCCAAGTTCTTCGCTCCCATGGTACCGAACCAACCCTCTCCTTTCCCTCCGATCTGAACTTCTTCTCGCCTTACCTGCAAGCCTGCACTCTGCAGCCACCTCAATTTAGATTGCTCCAGCCTCCTGGATGGTATATGAATCTCCGACATAGCTGTCCCGAGTTACCAGTTAGCGAATTCGATAGCGGATGTGGGCCTGTGACCTTATGACTGGTAGAAAGCAAGACTGAATTCATGTTGAAATTGCGATTTATTTCATTGTGAAATTACTCCCACCTCTCAAGAAATGAAGGAAACACTCATCATTGTTGACTAGCATAACATGAAGGGTAAAGTAGATTGGGATCAGCACTTAAAAGGGTTCAGTTTCTCCTAGATTGAGATCAGTTCTGCCTGCTTGAATTTTTTTTTGACAAAATTTCCCCTGTTTCGGAACACAGGGTTGACAATGACTGTCACTGACTATGATCTTGCCTTCCTCAGTTGCTCAAATACGGCATGGTGATACTTTTCAACGTGACAATGTGGGGGTGCTACGTGAACAGCCTCAAAGCTTTGTCCTCCCTCCAGGCAACAGTCACCAACTTCGCTGCCAACTTCATCTCGTCGGGTCTTGCAGGGTATTTCCTGTTTCAGGAGCCTCTGCCTTCCAAGGTACTAGTTTAACAATTTTGCATTTTCTCATTTCTGTAACCGTGGTTGTGCATGTTAAAGGAAGCTTTTAATTATATTTTCGTTGGTTTGTTATCTCCGTAAAAATTTGCACTTTACCAAGTTTGTTGAACAACGTGCTTCTTGCTCAATAGGAGTTAGGCCATAACATTAAGAAAAATCCAGTGTTGATGTCCTAATTTTGCCTCATCATGGAGTAGTTCTTACTGACTACGTACATAAATGCTGCTAAATTTTGACAGATTCGGTTACTTAATTTGCTCATTTTTGGAATTGTTTTCTCACTTAACTGCACCCAGCGTTTTAACTTGGACCTATGTTCATACAGTGGTTTGCAGGTGCCAGTCTGATCATTCTTGGTGTGTTCATCCTCAGCAAATCAAGCATTGAGGAGAAAGTGAACTCTGATTGATTGGGAGTTGCTAGCCGTCTGATAGCTGGGACATAAATTTTGCGAGCTTATACCTCTATTTCCAGTGCGTGTTTGCTCGTCCTGATACAATGTTAAACATCCGAAATTAATGTGTACATTTGGTCTCAGCTCATCCACTAACATGTACACTAGTATGGTTTGAGATACACGACCCAGTTTGTAATTTGTACTCCATCCGTCCGAAAAAACTTGTCCCTCAAATGGATGTATGTAGCACCAAGTTAGTGCTAGATACATCCATTCGAGGGACAAGCTTGGGACAAGTTTTATCGGACGGAGGGAGTAAGTAAGAAGTGAGCACATGATCTAAGAGTTGCTTGCTTTCGTTTCACGGATAGGGCATTCAAACTGTTTTAGCATTATCAATGGATCTTTTTTGTTCTTTGCATTTCTCCTGTTGTAAATTTTTGACATCGCAGTTAAGTTGATCACTAGCTATTTCTAGTTTGTCTATTGTCTCTGGTGTCATCTTCTATGCTGTGCAGGGTTTTCCATGATGAAACAATTCAAGTTTATGGTAGAAGCAGACATCCATCCATCACTTGCTAGGTACGTCCTGATCAGCCATAGACAGTATGAACAACAGTTTGATAGATATTCTGGATGCTATTTCAAATCTGGGAAAACTGCTGTAACGACCATTTGCTTTTCAGTTGCTGTACCCGATGTGTTAGCATGTGTCTTTAGCATTGCAAGATCCCTTTCCACAGTATCTCCTGAAGGACTGTTCATTTTGCTCCGGTACGAGAATCATTCATCAGGTACACCGTCGATGGCAGCTTTGCATTCGCCGCGGCCTCCCTGAGACAGCAAAATGTGTTTTTGGTATCAACATCTTGCGTGTTCGATTACCCGTTCCATTCATCTACAGGAGAATGTGTTCCGCAGTTTGCTGATAGGTGAGGTTTCGCCATCAGTACGAGCGACAGCATCAATGTCGAGGAAGTTCATGTGTGGTCAAAATACCATGTTTTACGCAAAAAAACAAACATGTTTTATTGCGTTGGTGAAAATTGGCGCCTTTTTAAATTTATTCAGCAACTAGCTTCCTGGTAAGAGTGGTAATATCCATAGCATAATGAGTATTCATTGCTGACACAAAAGATAAATTTGTTGGCTTGTTTTTGCTAAATTTTGTAGTGCTTATTGTTTTTATGGCGCTGCATTTGAAGATAAATGCTGCTGAACTTTTTACTGGTTTAATTATTTGGTTTTGTGAGATTTTTGGAAACTTTTCTTTGTCTTGTAACTTGAGCTCAACTACTAACGGTAACAGATACATCTGCAAGGTGCCCATGGAGGTGAGATCCATCACGCATTTGGGGATTTTTAAGTATGAACAAGCGCACGGTCTAATAATTGCTTGCTTTATTTCACGAGGATGGCATTAAAAACTCCCGTAGTATTGTGTATGAAGGATCTTTTTTTCATTTCTCCCGGTAATTTTTGTGGCATAACAGTTAAGCTGGTCTCTTGCTATCTCTTGTCATCTATGGTCTTGGTGGCTCGGCCACATCTGATGCTGTGTGTGCAGGGAGCCCTGATGAAGCAATGTAGCTTGTAGGCAGTGTAGAAGCAGCCGTCCGTCCATTTGGTAGGTACGTCCGTAGCACCTCCATAGCCAGTATGGAAGTATCTGTGGCCGATGTCTTTAGCACCATTACAAGATCCCTTTCCACAGTGGCTCCTGAAGGACAATTCATGTTGGTCTGGTACGAGTCTGGTACGAGAATCCAGGGACTTCCTCTGGAGGAGAATGTGATGTGCAGTTTTTCTGATGGCTGAACGTTCGTTGTCAGTACGGGCGACAGCATCATTGTCGGCGAGGAAGTTTATGCGCGGACGAGTGGATGTTACGATCGGCTTCTTTGTGAAGCAGCTGGGGATAAAATTAGAAGAGAACCATCCTAGCGGGAGAACTCAAACATGAGACTGAAATGCTGATGACATCGTCGAGAATCAAGATGCCGATGCTGGCTTGTGGCTTCAGTGTGAAGTCTGTCTGTACGAGCACCATCTTACCTGAACATGTTATTCCTTCCTGCAGAGGATAAACGTTGCCATAGGAAAGGAAGAAAGGAGCACATGTGTCATTTGAGCAGCCTTTTGGGAGGATGGTTGTAACGTCGCCATGGCAGGCAGCATGGACCGCCATTTATGTTGACCCGCACAGTGCGGCGTGTTCTTGAAGAAAATATTCCCATGACAAACGGCGGTAGGCCCGGCCCTGCTGGGATTTCTTGGCGGATAGGACAGAGCTCAGCTGGCCAACTTTGATTCCGTCCAGGGTTTTTGTTTTGTTTGATGAGGATCTGTCACACCGTGAGAGAGAATCCAGGGCGGAATCGAGCTAGAATAGACGGATCTCACAAGAGGGAAGGGAAAGTAATAGCTAGGGTTTGTATTACTGTAAGATATATGATTGTGTCATAGAGAAGTCTCGAATAATGGCATGCCTCTTACAGACGGGGGCCGCTAGCTTTATAGCTGAGCCGGCAATGGATGACAACTACAGTAACAGAAAAGAAAAGCTACAGTTACAACGAAACGGTACAATGGTTCGGCGAGCCTTGCGAGCCGTTGGATCGATGGCGATGACTCAGATCGTAGCCGTTCGTTAACTGAAGATGTAGAACACTTGTAGCTAAAAGTGCAGGTCTGACAATACCCCCGGCTGAAAACGAACTTGTCCTCGAGGTTAGCGGTTGAACCAGCGATCAATGGTGGCCATGAAGAATGCGGGAAAGGTTTTCTTCATGAAGGCCGCATCTTCCCAAGAAGCTTCATCGGGTGGTAAGTTTTCCCACTGAACTAGCCATTGCACCACAGGCAAGTTGTTGCGCGGTACTTGACGGGTTTCCAGGACCATCACCGGTTCTGTCTGAATCAGGCCATCTGTTCGCACAAGTGGCAAATCAACACAAGGGACTGCCTTGGGTCCTACATGTTTCTTCAGCTGGCTGACGTGGAAGACAGGGTGGATGTTGGTGTTGTCCGGCAGTAGCAACTTGTAGGCTACACGCCCCACCTTCGCCATAACACGGAAAGGGTCGTAGTACTTGCTCCGTAACTTGATATGTGTGCGCAAACCAAAGGCGTTTAGCTGATATGGTTGCATTTTAAGGTAGACCATGTCACCCACTTCCATGTCCGTTCAGTGCGCTTGTGGTTTGCATACTTTTTCATACACACTTGAGCAGCAGATAGGTTGCTTTTCAAGTGTTGGAGCAGAGCATCTCTGTCAGTAAAGAACTGCAGAGCATCAGCTGTCAAACTGTCAGGCAAGATATTTTCACAAATGTTGGGGGTGGGAAACCATAATCAGCCTCAAACGGTGTCTTCTTGAGAGAGGAATGGTAAGAGGTATTGTACCAGTACTCGGCCATTGATAAGTGTTTTGCCCACTGCTTGGGTTTGGTGGATGTTAAGCAGCGCAAGTAGTTCTCGATGCACTGATTGACGCGCTCCGTTTGGCCATCAGATTCTGGATGATAGGTAGAACTATAACTCATTTCTGTTCCCATGCCCTTGAATATGTCTTGCCACAGTTGACTGGTGAAGTTACAGTCTCAATGAGAGACTATGGCCATAGGTGGCCCGTGCAACTTCAACACATTGTCGATAAACGCTTGGGCCACTGTTTGGACTGTGAAAAGGTGTGAGAGGGGGATGAAATGTGCAAACTTAGACAATCTTTCAACCACAACCATGATGACATCTTTTCCATTGGATGTTGTTAATCCCTCTATGAAATCCATACTCAAGTGTGTCCAAACCATGTCAGGGAGCTGGAGTGGATCTAGATAGCCTTGATAGGAACAATTTTCTCCATTGTTTTTCTGGCACACAGGGCATACAGCCACAAACTGGTCAACATCTTGTTTGAGGCCTGGCCCGTAGAAGATTTGTTTGATGCGGTGGTATGTAGCTTTCATACCAGAATGACCACCAAGTGCAGAAGCATGCAATGCAGTGAGGAGTCTTTGCCTGAGTTCAAGATCTTTACCCACATAGATTTTTTCCTTTGTGCCTTATGATCCCTGAGTGCAGTGTGTTCTGATGGATGGAGTGATCAGAGGCCAGAAGTAATTTTTCCAAGAGTGATTGACAGGTGCTTTCCTTAGTGTAGGATTCTTCCACAGCAGAAATCCATTGAGGTGTCACTAGGGATATGGCCATGAGAGGTGCTTTTCTGGAAAGGGCATCAGCAACAGTATTTTCTTTGCCCTTCTTATATTGTAGTGTGAAGTTGAATTCCAACAGTTTGAGCATCAATTTGTGCTGGATTCCAATGGTGATTTTCTGATCAGTCATATACTTCAAACTCTGGTGGTCAGTTTTGATGATGAGGTCATTACCCAAGAAACAATGTCTCCACCTCTTTAATGCAGCAATGATTACCAAAGCTTCTTTTTCATATGTGGACAGGGCAGCATTTTTGGGACAAAAAGTTGAGTTGTAGTAAGCTATAGGTCTGCCTTGCTGCATCATTACTGCTCCCAACCCTGTTCCAGAAGCATCTGTTTCCAAAGTGAAAGGTTCAGAGAAATTTGGAAGGTCTAGTACTGGAGCACTGTTCCAGAAGCATCATTCAGTTTCTTATAATCAATGCACATTCTCCAGGTGCCATCTTTATTCATGACCAGGATTGCTGGGGAGGAGTAAGGACTTGCACTGGCTCTTATAATCTTATCTTTGAGCATAGCATCAATTTGTCTTTCTAGCTCATTTTTCTGCATATGGGGCACTCTGTAAGGTCTTGAATTATGTGGTTTGGCTTCCTCTTTTAATGGAATTTTATGATCATGTGCTCTCTTGGGAGGTAGGCCCTTTGGTTCTTGAAAAATCTCAGGAAACTGTTGTATAACTTCTTCCACAGGTGGAGGAACAGTGTTGTTTTCAGGTTTCTTCATAGTGGTGTCTCTGATTAGTTGTAGCACATAGCCAGGGGCTCCTGCTGACAGAAGTTTATCCACTTC